CTTGAGCTCGGCTTCACTCAACTGCCGCACGATCTCGGAATGTACAGGCGGGAGTCACGCGGAAAGTTCATCCTCCTCGTCGCCTACGTCGACGATCTCCTCTACACCGGGGACGACACGGAGCTACTCGACCAATTCGAGGCCGACATCAAAACGAAACTTGAAGTCACCGTCAATCACAACGTCACCCAATTCCTCGGCCTCAACGTAACCCAGTCCGCCTCCTCCATTCACCTCTCCGCCGCCAAATACGCCGAAACACTCGCGAAGCGGTTCGCAATCGCTCCCATCAACCTCACTACTCCCTACCGCACTCCTCCTCCTAACCACGAGCCCGACACCACGCCACTCTCACCTGACGACCATCGTCTCTTTCAGCAGCAGCTCGGCTGCCTCCTGTTCGCCGCCGTCACATGCCGGCCTGATCTCTCCTACGTCGCTAGCCAGCTCGCACAGTATCTGAAGCGACCTGAAGGGGAGAATCTACTGGATCTACGCCGAGCACTGCAGTATTTCATCTCCACTCCCGACGTCGGCCTCACCTACGAAGCCAACCTCACCGCTACTCTGCAGCTTCATGGCTACGTGGATGCCGATCATGCTGGAGATGTTGATAACAGACGCTCCCGTACAGGATTCATTTTTCAACTCCAACCTGCTGGACTCATCTCTTGGAACTCCCAGAAGCAGGAACTCATCGCTCTTTCGTCAGATGAAGCAGAATTCATCGCAGCTAGCGCAGCTGTTCGCGAAGGCCTGTACCTGATGGAGCTCCTGCAGGAGGCAAAAGTAACGATGAACTTGCATTTCACGTTACTCTGCGACAATCAAAGCGCGATAAAGATCGCAACCGCACCAAGCACATCGGCCTTCGCTACTTCTTCGTGAAGGACGAAATTGACAAGGGGAAAGTCAAGCTGACTTACTGCCCGACCGCTGACATGGCAGCCGACTTCCTGACGAAGAAATTGCCACGTCAGCAGTACCAGCACTGCGCCAACCTCTGTGGGATCACCAATAAATCCCACGTGGCCCACCTTCAGGAATGAAGGGGAGTGTTGGAATAACCGAAAGGTTATAAAGGCATTCCCGAAGATGCTCCTCTGTACTAGTACCGCATTAGCTCATATGGAGCACGCGGAATCTCGAGGGTCACCCGAAGGTCAACCGTCCAAAGATTGTCAACGGTCGTGACCCTTGACGATCCAGCAACCACGCAACAGTTAACAGACTGCAACAGGGTAACTGTCGAGAATAGCAATAGTCGTGGTTATTGTAGCTATGTAATACAGTTAATAAGGGAATGTACCCTCAGGGTACATGGCTAGATAGTTTGCTAATAAATTACTTGTACTCCTCTCTAATCATCTTGTTCTCCTTCAACTATTTCTCAACAAGGTCATTACAGAGACATCACTGTCTCCTCTCAGGCTTAACACATTCTATCCTATCCACTGATCCTTTGGTTGTATCAGCAGTAAGGATGTTCCTTGACAAACCGCGGCTACCAAATTTAGGATGACGTCACTGATTCTGAAAGCCTCGAAGTGCTACTACGTGTCCAGGATATGAACAACACTTCCGCACAAAACCACAACGTTTAATAGGGAAAATAAATGTGAATCGATTTGTTACCAAGCTCTGTGACTTCAGAACAATAACCCAATTTCCAAATCCAACCTCATTTTGGGATAATCGCTCGAGTTGGTTGGGAACAATTTGGTGCTTTTTATTCTTATACCTTATCTAATCTATTTGGCAATCCCCCACGCAAGATTTCGGTCGAAACACGGGTAGAGGATGATAAAATCGAGAATATATCTGACGGCTCATAGTTCTGGCTTTAGAAGATCCCAACCTTTGAATGGCGAAGGAAATTGCAACCTTTCTGACACCAGTCTTGGGTGGAAGGAACCTCCCTAGGGATTGTCGCTTCGCTTCACCCCTCCACCCTCTCACCACACATCCCGACCCGCAAAGCTCAGAAGCTTGATTCACACAAAACGTATTTCATGTTCAACGTGTAAGCACGGATCGACATTAGTTTCAGAGTCTCCCATTCTCGTCCAGCAAGAATCTTCCTAAGCCAGACATTCGTTCAAGTGGTTTCAGTTTGCCGGAGCCGATTCAGTTGCCTCGCGCTGCCGCAAGCCGTTCGCCGCGCGCGTAACCCCTCACTTGATCAAACCCGGCGTGCTTACTAGCTCCTCATTCCATCGAATCCCGTGGAGATCTAAACGATTCCTCATTCCGTCCCTGAAGGCTAATCCAGGCCGTTAATCCATAGCGAAGCTTCGCTTTAGTCCTTAAGTTCGAGTATCACCCATCGGACCACAAGGGGGTTGCATCTCATCCTTCGAGCACGATTAGCGCTCACTTTTGATCAGTGGTAACGTCTTTCTCAGCGAGTGAGCTGCGGCGACCTTTCGCGAAGTTTCGCGTCTGTCAAAAGATTTAAGCGTGTGGGAGGTGATCAGCCTTGGGCAGGAATCGATCTGTCTCCAGCAGAAGCCGCATGGATAGTTCCTCCTCCTCCTCCTCCTCCTCCTCCTCCTCCTCCTCCTCCTCCTCCTCCTCCTCCTCCTCCTCCTCCTCCTCCTCCTCCTCCTCCTCATCGTCATCATCATCCACGTCAGCAGAGAATCGCCACCAGCCAATCCCGAGGCTCCCAGGCCACGCCCAGGTGCTCGGCCGATCCAATCTATTAGCCTTCTCTCCCGGCCAACCCAATCCTCCTCCATCCCTCCTTCCTCCCTCACACCCTAACCCTCCCTCACACTCTAACCCCCCTTCACACTCTCACCCTCCCTCACAATCCAACCCTCCATCACATTCTAACCCTCCCTCACACTCTAACCCTCACTCACACTACAACCCTCACTCGCACACTCACTCTCACACGCACCTGCTGCAACCAATACCCGAGGAGGACCCCTCCTCTCTCTCTCAATCCACCCCCAGCCCAGCTCGCTCTCGCTCCCTGCCTCTGGCCGCTTCAGCAGCAGAAGATGCGGCATCAGCCGCAACAGAAGCAGCAGCAGGCAGCACCAGAAGCACCGGCAGCGCCAGCAGCAGCACTGGCAGCGCCAGCAGCAGCACTTGCAGCGGCAGCAGCAGCAGCAGCAGCAGCAGCAGCCGTCGTGTGACATTTTCAGAGTGGGTTAGTCAAAGCGATGCGAGCAGGGATAGTTGGGAGGGCGAAGAGCATGCGAGAGAGTTACAAGACTTCCCCTCTTCGCGAGACAGGGGCAGTGGCATGTCAGCAGGCGGTAGACTGAGAGCGGCGGAGGGCGGTAGGGAACGGTTCGGTGCGGCTGAGCGGACGGTTGTGGGGGCAGGCCCGTTAATGGACGAAGCAGTGGCTGTGAGGGATGTTGGGGGGGAGCAAGGGAGTGGGACAGGCGCGGGGAGCTCTATAACGGGTACAGGGGGGCTGGAGGAAGGGATACGGCGGGGCGTGGGGGAGGGGCCAGAATTGGACGGTTTGGATTTAGGGTTTGGGATCTGTGCGGTGGATTTTGATGGAGGGCTGGCAGCGGGGATTGGTGGAGAGGTGGGGTTTGAGAGAGGGGGAGGTGGAGGCGTGGAGCGCATGTGGGAAGGGGAGCTGTGTGACTGCTTTGATGACTCGTCTGTTGCGACGCAGACAGTCTGGTGAGTTCTCGTTGTGTCAACCCACTCCTCCTCCTTCCATCCTTCCCCCCTCACTCCCTGACCCTCCCTAATCCTCACTCACACTCTAACCCTCCCCACCCCTCAACACACTCTGTGTACTCTCTGTGAAGGGGGGAGGGGGGAGGGGCGGGCAAAGGGGGGAGTGGGGGCGGATGTGGGAAGGGGAGCTGTGCGACTGCTTTAATGACTCGTCCGTTGCAACACAAACTGTCTGGTGAGTTCCCTTTTTGTGCCCTCCGTCAAAGGTGGAGGGGGGGAGGGGGGGGACGTGGAGCGCATGTGGGAAGGGGAGCTGTGGGACTGCTTTGATGACTCTTCTGTCGCCTCTCAGACCGCCTGGTGAGTGCAGGGAGGGAATGTTTGGATGTAGCTGGTGTGGTGAGTGCAGGGAGGGAATGTTTGGATGGAGCTGGTGTGGTGTGGTGAGTGCTCTCTCTTGCAGGGGGGATGAAGGTACTGGTCTGGTCTGGTGTATAGAGCACATGTGGAAAGGAGAGCTTTGCAAGTGCTTTGATGGCTCGTCCGTTGCATTGCATTGCAACACAGACTGTCTGGTGAGTTCTCTCTGTGTGCTCTCTTCGTGGGGGGGGGGGGGGGGGGGGGGGGGGGGGGGGGGGGGGAGCGCATGTGGAAAGGAGAGCTCTGCAGCTGCTTTGATGGCTCGTCCATTGCATTGCAACGCACACTGTACTGTATGGTGTGTGCTCTCCAGCTTGCAGTGGGAATGGCGGTACCTCATCTGGTGAGTGCTGAGAGGGGATGGAGTGGAGTGGAGGTAAGGTAACCCCTCTCTAAAAGTCACATCTCCACCACTTTTATGATGAATCGTCCGTTTCCACACCATACAGACTGCCTAGTGGGTGCCCTCTCTCACAGGGGGATGGCGGTACCTCATCTGGTGAGTGCAGAGGGGATGGAGTGGAGTGGAGGTAAGGTAACCCCTCTCTCTGGCCTGGCATCATTGGTTCGCCTCAAAGGCACATCTCCATGTCTGCTGTGACGACTCGTGCACTGCCTCTCAGACCGCCTGGTGAGTGCCCTCCACGCATGAGTGAGTGCCCTCCACGCACGAGCGAGTGTTCTTCATATATCCCAATCTGCCTCCCTCACCACCTCGTGTCTCCCATCCCACCCCTCCCTTGCAGCTGCCCATGCACCTCTTTCTGGTGGGAACATAGAAATAGCTGGATCGAATCAATAGGTGAAGAGAGCATGGCCATGCAGGATTCTCTCTCAACCATTCTTTCTTCTTCTCCTTCTATCGCTGCCCCATACCAACCCTCCCTCACAGCTGCCCATGCATCACGTTCGGGCAGAACATGGCAATGGCTGGGTTTGGCAGCTGTGCACCCCAGGTATGGTAAAGTGCTCTAACAGAACAGGCCCGGCAGCTTTCCCCCTTATATATGGTGAATTGCACTTACGGGTTCGGCACCTGTCCCCTCCAGGTACGGCAAAGCGCACTTGCAGGTTTGGCGAAACGCGCTCACAGGTATGGCGAGGCTCTGTACAAGTCCGGCAAAGCGTTCTTCCAGGTATGGCAAAGCGCCGAAAAATGACGGTGAACCATGCATGAATATCAGAATGCATTGTGTGCATCGATCGATCCACCTTCGATGCCCCTCCGTCTCCGTCTGCTTGGAATGCCATTCTCAGGACCGCTTTTGCGGTACTCCTTCATATGGAATGTAAACCTCTCTTTTCCTCGCTTTCTCTACTCCTCTCATCCCCCAGGCCCTCATCGATGTGTTCTCACCTGGGGAGCATGTTCATGCGCTATTTTGAATCTCCATTCCATCCCTTGGGTTGCTTTCCTCTCTTTCCCCTGCCTTCCCTGCTCCTCTCTTCTCCATGACCTCTCTGCTTCCCTCTTTCCCCCAGGCCCTCATCTACTGTGCTCTCACGTGGGGAGCATGCTCCTGTGCGCAGCTCATAGCCCTCTGCTCCACTCTCGACTTCTTCGCATCCCTCGGAATCCTTCTCTACTGCCTCGGCAACTCTTACCCTGCACGCTTTCGCACGCAAACACGCCGGCGCTTCAACATCCAGGTGAGGTCAAGCAGAGTTGACTTTTGAGTTGACTCAAGTCTTCTCATCCCTCGGCGTCCCCCTCTACTGCCTCGGCACCTCTTACCCCACGTGGCATGAACTGGCCTATCCACCGCTTGCCCTCTTGTTCCCGTCGGGGAAAGAACACGTGGTTATCATACGCTGTGATTTCTGCATGATCATTCTCGAGCCTCTCTTCCTACCCCCCCTTCCCTCCCTGACCCTCTTTCCCTCCTCACAGTCACTCCCCCTCACTATCTCTCCCTATTTGCTCAGCCAACCACGCAGGGCGATGAGGCAACATATTGAAATCACTTTTGAGAATTCTCAAAAGTGGTTTCAATATCACTACCCCTCGTTATCTCTCCCTATTCGCCCAGCCAGCCATGCAGGGCGATGAGGCAACGGATTGCATCTATTACGCTTGAGCATTCTCGAAATTCCCGCTCTCGATTTCCCCAACACAACCATGCAGGGTGATGAAGCTACGGATTGCGTCTATCACGCATGTTGCTCCTGCTGCGCTCTCTGCCAGGTATGCTCGAGGCATTATTCTGGGGCTGCTTGTAAAGCGTACATACATGCAGTGCGTCATGTCAAGGGCCTTTCGTGTTGCTTGATTGCTCTATCCTTTTCCAAACTGTCTTGCCACTTTTCCTTACTTTCATGTCTTTTCTTGCTTATTCCAACCCAACTCGAATTCAGCCAAACACAGGAGGCGCGCACGCTACGGATAAATAATGTGCGGAGAGGCATGTGGGGAGGGAGGGGGCGCATGGGGAACGTGGCACCAAACACCAAATCGCTCATGCTAGTCCCTCCACTTCCCTTCCTTTTCTTTTCTTGCCCATTCCATCTTTCACCTGGCAAAAAAACAGGAGGCCCGCACACTACGGATAAATAATGTGCGGAGAGGCATGTGGGGAGGGAGGGGCCACATGGGGAACGTGGCTCCAAACACCAAATCGCTTATGCTAGTCCCTCCACTTCCCTTCCATATGACAGCCATGCCTTCCCCTCCCAGTTCCCCTGCCACTTCACCCTCGAGCTCTAGTAGAGCCCCACTTTTTACGCCAGCCCACTCGTGATGCGTGCCTATTAACATTTTGTGTCATCTCTCACATTTGAGTGACAACATCGTGGCAATTTACCTCAAAATGTTTTTTTTAATCCCCAATACAGTATGATGTATTTTCCAATAAATGATATAGTGATGACCACCAATAGCAATCAATCAGATTGACCCATATGGTCAAGATTTCCCCGCTGCACTTTTCTCCCAACGTCTGTGGTGGAGCGCACGCCTCCACCCCATTTCGCTCCAAAGAATATTCTTCCCGCTGGTCCCCGCCTTTTGCCTTGTTCGTGTATCTGATACTGAAGCGCCGCCAAGCCCCCAGCCCCAGGCAGGCCAGGAGGTTTTCAGCCAAACTGGAAGGGACAGACAGAACAGGCTTGAGTTTACAGTTGAAAATGGGCCAAATCTCTGGCTCCAGAGATTGGTTCGGCTGGCGTCAGTCATCGTCAGTTTGAGTTTACAGTTGAAAATGGGCCCTCGGGTCCTGTTCCATAAGCTTTCTGAGAGGCTGCTGTTGCCTGACGACGACGCCGAAGTCAGTTCTGAAGAAACAGAGGCCCAATCACCGAGCGTTACCGTAAATTAAAATAGTTTTATCTCTATGAAGCGCATTCCACCCTTTATAATGACGTCTGAACCAATCATGACATTCCCTTGGTACGCACCGCCCCCTTGGGGGCTTCAGGGACCAGGACGTTCTCGAGTTGGTTGATTCTCAAATGCCGTATCGAGCAGGAAAGGAACCGCATCCGAACGCACAGTAATCTTTGTGATTGTTCCTCATCGCACTGTACCATTCACGTGATTGTCGGTTGACCTGGTTTTGTTTGCACATGACACACGCCCTAAGTCTATTGTAGTCGCACGCACTGCGCCGCTAGTTCCTCCTAAAACCGCATTGATCACATTTCCTAGCGCATTGGTTCCACTCATTGTCCTTGCTTGGATCAGTATTTTTGGTCCCGTGACCAGTGGTGATTTTCCGACTGTGGGATTAGGTCACGCAATTAGGTCGTGCGACTAGGTAATGCGATCGCGTCGTGCGACAGGCTCTGCGAGTGCGCGACCTGATTTATGCAATTCAGCTGGTGATCCTTTTCCGGTCTGAACCCCTAGTATCACATAATTACAGGCATGCGTGATAAAATGAAGTGCAGAATGTCGTAGGCTCTGAATTCTGCAGCCGTGGTTTGTACTATTTGCATCCTACCTGGCTTGCCAGTTTAAAGCTTTCGCGTTACCGTGTCGCCCTACTGTCCCACCGTGTCACCGTGCTAACCTGACTAATTAGACTTCCTGTGGTATTTCAAAGGGAACGGCTCTGTGGTAGACTTTACTTCGCAATCTATTGCTTCTCATTTGCCTGACAGCTAGTTTCTTAATTCATACCCTAAGCGCGCAATCGGTAAAAATCAACGTTTGTCCTGATAGCAGTCGCACGTCAGTGATAACGAGTATGACGGAAGAGTATCACCATCACATGGACGGAAAACGGGACGACGACGGCGGAGCTGTAGAGTATAGCGAGGACCTCCGTGACGGGGATGGCGATCCCGGGGAAGACGGGTACGACGACGACGGTTCCGGCGAGCCTTTAGAGCCGGAAATCGTGGGAGTACCGACATATGACGGAGCGTATACGCAGTATAACATTTATGGGAATATGTTCGAGGTTACTGCGAAGTATGTGCCGCCTATCCGGCCAATCGGTCGTGGGGCCTACGGAATTGTGTGGTAAGTGCTCTTTGCCTTCTGACATGACACAAAAACAATAAAACAAAAGAAAATTCTCGGGATTGGGAATGTTTGAGTGGTTCGTTCTGAACGTTCGTCTACTGCCTGATGAATGGCTGACTTTCCATATCTCCCGCCAGTTCTTGTCCCCGTTCGTGCACCAGCCTCATCCCATTCCCGTTTCTTGGTTCTCATCACCTTGCAGTGCTTCATTTTTTTTTTCCACCCTTCCCGTGTGTTTGCAGCTCGGCGATCAACTCGGAGACTCAGGAGGAGGTGGCGATTAGGAAGATCGCCAACGCCTTTGACAATCGGATGGGCTTTTGTGGCCCCTCAAAGGTCACCTGTGATTTTGTCACCCTACACCCCCCCTGTGTGTTTGCAGCTCTGCTATCAACTCGGAGACTCAGGAGGAGGTGGCGATTAAGAAGATCGCCAACGCCTTTGACAACCGTATTGACGCCAAGAGAACGCTGAGGGAGATCAAGCTGCTGCGACACATGGACCACGAGAACGTGAGTCGCTTTCACCGTCTCGCTGACATGTGGAGCACAAGAACGTGAGTTTGTTAGATGTTTACAAGGGGTAAGATGATCAAGTCAAGCTGCTCCGACACACGGATGGTCCACGAGAACATTGAGAAACCACAAAAACATTAGCTTCTCAAGCTTCCTCCCTCCCTCCCTCCCTCCCTCCCTCCCTCCCTCCCTCCCTCCCTCCCTCCCTCCCTCCCTCCCTCCCTCCCTCCCTCCCTCCCTCCCTCCCTCCCTCCCTCCCTCCCTCCCTCCCTCTCTCCTTCCATCCCTCCCTGCCTCCCTCCCTGCCTCCCTCCCTGCCTCCCTCCCTGCCTCCCTCCCTCCCTCCCTCCCTCCCTCCCTTCCTCCCTCCCTCCCTCCCTCCCTCCCTCCCTCCCTCCCTCCTCCCATCGCTCCCCCTGTGCGATTCCATCAGGTGGTGGCCATCAGGGACATCATCCCCCCTCCAGCGCGCGGCACATTCAACAACGTCTACATCGTGTACGAGCTCATAGACACGGACCTTGTGCTCTCCATACCTCCCCTTTCATTCCTTCCTCCCATTTGCCCCCCCCATGCATCATGCTTCCACATCAGCTGGTGGCCATCAGGGACATCATCCCCCCTCCAGCGCGCGGCACATTCAACAACGTCTACATCGTGTACGAGCTCATAGACACGGACCTTGTGCTCTCCATAACGCCCCTTTCATTCCTTTCTCCCATTGCCCCCCCCATGCATGATGCTTCCACATCAGCTGGTGGCCATCAAGGACATCATTCCCCCTCCAGCGCGCGGCGCATTCAACAACGTCTACGTCGTGTACGAGCTCATAGACACGGACCTTGTGCTCTCCATAACGCCCCTTTCCTTCCTTCCTCCCATTGCCCCCCCCATGCATGATGCTTCCACATCAGCTGGTGGCCATCAGGGACATCATCCCCCCTCCAGCGCGCGGCACATTCAACAACGTCTACATCGTGTACGAGCTCATAGACACGGACCTTGTGCTCTCCATACCTCCCCTTTCATTCCTTCCTCCCATTGCCCCCCCATGCATCATGCTTCCACATCAGCTGGTGGCCATCAGGGACATCATCCCCCGTCCAGAGCGCGGCACATTCAACAACGTCTACATCGTGTACGAGCTCATAGACACGGACCTTGTGCTCTCCATACCTCCCCTTTCATTCCTTCCTCCCATTGCCCCCCCCATGCATCATGCTTCCACATCAGCTGGTGGCCATCAGGGACATCATCCCCCCTCCAGCGCGCGGCACATTCAACAACGTCTACATCGTGTACGAGCTCATAGACACGGACCTTGTGCTCTCCAGACCTCCCCTTTCATTCCTTCCTCCCATTGCCCCCCCATGCATCATGCTTCCACATCAGCTGGTGGCCATCAGGGACATCATCCCCCCTCCAGCGCGAGACACCTTCAACGATGTGTACATCATGTATGAGCTCATGGACACGGACACGGAGCTCTCTCATCCCACCACCCTCCCTCCCTCCCTCCCTCCCTCCCCCCCCCCCCCCTCCCATCTCAACCCTTGTGCAGTCACTCCAGGTGGTGGCCATAAGGGACATCATCCCCCCGCCCTGCCTGCACGTGACACCTTCAACGATGTGTACATCGTGTACGAGCTCATGGACACGGACCTCCTGCTCCCCTGATGGACAATCGTTCCTCTCAT